CAGCTGGGCCAGCTGGAAGGTCTGCTTAATTGGTATCAGTCTCTTCTCCGCTCCCATGGCGCCGGACCGGGTCGAGGCGAGCCCGTCCGCGCTTGACAACAGCCAGAGACTGACCACCATCGGCGTCTCATTAGACGATCCCGACTCTGGTCAGTCAGCCGCAGAGAGCCGACCGCTCCGTTACCGCCGGAGCCTTCAAATATCTCCCGCGAGACAACCGCGAGAACAGGGCCGCCTTCTGGCTTCGCGCATGCGCAGAGGGCCGAGCCGGTCCTCTTCCGGTTGCAAGTGGGATGGGTTTCTCTGGATGCGGAAGCGAGGCCGGAAGTGGTGTTTAGTGGGGAATGGGGGGCGAGATACACTGGCGGTCGGCACGTTCGGCGGGAGGTTCGTGGCGCTGGGCTGGAGGTGAGAAGGAAGAAAGGCGAACTTTGGTGGGAGTGATCCGGATTCGGCTGAAGGGAGACATTGCGGGGTTCGTTGGCGGGGGGCATGTTTCGGTTTTGCTCACAGGACGGATGGACGTCCACCGGAGGTAGGGAGCTGTGATCCGGGATCCGGGGGCAGTTGCTCTCCGGTGGGCTGAAGGGGTCAGACTGGGGTTCGTAGACCTAGTTAGCTCCCTTGAGATCTGGAGGAAACGGGAGTCTCCTGGGAAGAGGATTACATACTAATCTACTTAAAGCTCATACCTGCAAGTCCTCCTCTTAAGGTATAATTGCTAATGAGTGCATCACAACAATACAGGAAACAAAAGGAGAATATCAGACAGAGACAGAGGGTAATTTTAAATTACTGGTTATGAGACAAGCAGGCAGTGCCTTCAGGAAAGAATCACGCCTTAACCATCCCTTTTAAAAATAAGATGTTTTTTGACTGACACAGTAGAAGTAAAACTATAACCAATACGTGTGTACTCAACACCCAAGTGGAAAAATTATTATTATATATTTGAAGCCCTTGGTCTGCTCCATCCAATTCCATTCTATTCTCTCTTGACCAAGGTCCCTCCCCTTTAAAGCACCTTTATGTTTTATTTTTTAATTACATGTATAGTGCTGTTTTGCATANCTGGAGGACGGCATGGCACTTCACAGTATTCATGCCTGGAGAATCCCATGGACGGAGGAGCCTAGCAGGTGGGCTACAGTCCATGGAGTCGACTGCAGCGTGTATCATTCTATAATCTCTTTGGGGCTTCCCTGGTGGTTCAGACAGTAAAGAATCCACCTGCAAGGCAGGAGACCCAGGTTCAATCCCTGGGCCGGGAAGATCCTCTGGAGGAGGGAATGACAGCTCACTCCAGAAATCTTGCCTGGAGAATTCCATGAACAGAGGAGCCTGGTGGGCTACAATCCATGAGCGTCACGAAGAGTTGTACACGACCGAGCGACTAACACTTTGATTTTCAAAGAGGATTGGGTTGAAATGAGAATAGTAAAAATATAAAAGAGCAGAATGATTTAAAGACAGTTGTTTTTGTCTAAAAGAATTACTCATACCCATAATAATATAAATGAGAGATTCATTTTTTTTAAGTCTGTTTCTTATTTTCAGGTAGATTGACGTGTTTGACTTTTTAAGATGAATCTAAATATAGTTTAAATTTATGTTTTTATAAGCAATTTATTTTGAAATAGAATATTGTCAATCCGGTTTTAAAGGTCTCACTAGTCTTTGTCTTACATATCACCAAATTATTCAGATATAGTTTGGTAACTTATTTTTCACTGACTGATAAAAATAGAATGTCCATGGTACAGTTTACTACAGGTGTCATTCATTCTCTGATTTAATCTTTCAAATGCATTTATTGAGAACCTACCATGTGACAAACACTGTTCTAGGAACAAGTAGATAAAAAGATTCATTAGTGGAAAGTCATTAACCTGAAACTGTATCCCATGCCTCTATTAGTACACCTTGGTATATAAGATACTTTCAGCTACAAGTATTTGGTCACCTTAACTCTTGAAAGTCTCTCCTAAAGAATGGCTAAGCTAGATGCACAACCGATTAAAAGAGCATTATTGCTCTTATTCATCAAAGAGATCCAGATGCAGTTGCTTTTCCAGCAGTTTAGTCTGGTTTAATATGGCAATGCTGTCCGCCACACTTTGCCTCCATCTGGGAGGCATCTGCCAAAAACTCCTTACTCCTGCTAACTACCTTGGCAGACAGGACAGAGACCTCCAAAGAAAAGCTTTGCCTCTTTCTCAGAGGAGGGTAAAATATTTTGAACATGTCATCTTTGGGGAAACATCTAAGGAAGATTAAGTCAGAAGTATCTACCAGACCCTGAGCTCTCTCTCCCATAGGTTGCTAAGTCGTGTCCGACTCTGCGACCCCATGGACTGCAGCACTCCAGGCTTCCCTGTCCTTCACTATCTCCCTGAGTTTGCTCAAACTCATGTCCATTGAGTCAGTAGTGCCATCCAGCCATCTCACCCTCTCCTGCCCCCTTCTCCTCCCTTCCTCAGTCTTTCCCAACATCAGGTCTCTTCCAGTGGCTGGCTTGTTAAAAGTGAGCGTCCTTGTTAGAATGCATGTTCACGCCCAGTGCAGCAGTCAGCTTCCTTAGTGTTCACCCAAAGGAGTGGAAAGCTGGTGTGCACACACAAACTGGCTGCCCATGTTTGTAGCAGCTTTATTCACAAATTGCCAAAAATTGGGAGCGACTAAGCTGTCTTTCAGTAGGTGAATGTATAAATAAACTTATAACCAAATATTTTTCAGTGCTAAGAAGACATGAGCTATTAAGTCATGAAACTACCTGGAGGACCTTGAAATGAATATTATCAAGTGAAAGAAGCCAACCTGAGAAGTCTGTATACATGTAATTCCAACAGTGTGGCATCCTGGAAAAAGCAAAACTGTGAAGCTGAGCTGGTTAAAAAAAATCAGTGACTACTAGAGATCAGTGGGGGTAGGAAGGAAGGGAAGGATAAATAGACAGAGACACAGGGTTTTTAGGGCAGTGAAAATACTCTGTGTGATGCCATGTGGTGGATACATGCCATTATTCATTTGTCATAACTCATAGGATGTACGACCCCAAGAGTGAGCCTTAATGTAAGTGATGGACTTTGGATGATGGCGATGTATTGGTGTGGCTCTATCACCTATAACATGTACCACTGCTCTGGTGAGGGATGTTGATAATGGGGAAGACTGTGGATGTCGGGGCAGGGCTATGTGGGAAAAAATCTCTACCCTTTGCTCAGTTTTGCTGTGAACCTAAAGTTGCTAAGTTTATTACATTAAAAAAAAAATGTATTAGACATGACATACTATAAGTCCCCTTCAAGTTTACTGTTAAATACAATTTAATGAAGTCTTACAGAAGACTGTCACCAAGGCCTTCTCCCTCTGGCAGCATCTTTCTTGTTTCAAGGTCAAAACGTGATGCCTGTTTCAAATATAGCATGATTTTTAAAAGATTAGACCGCAATAAATGCAATGGTGACAGGCTGATGGAAACTGATGGCATGCAGATCATTCGTGGGCTTCCCTGATGGCTCAGCAGTAAAGAACCCACCTGCCAATTCAGAAGACCTTGGTTCAAACCCTGGGTTCAGAAGATCCCCTGGAGGAGGAAATGGTAACCCACTCCAGTGTTCTTGCCTGGAAAATGCCATTGACAGAGGAACCTGGTGGGCTACAGTCCTGGGATTGCAAAGAGTCAGACGTGACTGAGCACAAATGGAAGACTTTACCCTTCTTCCATTCCATTCTTACGCCCACCCCAAACACACACACAAAGTGGCATCACTTAATGGAGAGGTTTGTAAGGAAGTGCTGTATTATGCTGATAAGACCCAAATATCCCAAGTTCAAGAAAGCAATGCAGGAAGTACTTTCTAGATGGGCACAGTCAAAGTGAGCCAAGAGGAAATAACAGTTAGTGAATGAGCTGTGCTTCTCCATGGTCTGCTGTGTTCAGCTTTGGCAGTGTACTCTGCATCTGCTGGTACTGACCCCCAGGTCTTACATCATTTTTTCTCTCTCCCAGACTTGGTTGAAGTGTTCTGCCTTTTAGAAATGGGCCTAAACCTGTATAACATGGTGATGAGGAGAACTATAGCTTTTTGCTTCAACATTCATGACCTTGGATCTTGTAAAGGTCACTATAGCTGGGAATAGTGCTCCTCTGTCTTGTAATGTTTAATGTCATATTTCTGGTCTTATTCCCAGGTCAAGGATGCATTCCAAGAAAGTTCTAAAGATATATCACCAGCTCCAGCCATATAGTTGACCTAGCCATGGAAAACCTTGTTGGAACCTTACTAGATCAAAGCATCATTTGCCATCTTAAAAAATATGCTTCCCATCAGAAAGTATCAGGAATAAAAATCTGATATATACCACCACTTCAAGGAAGTTCCAGTGTCAGCCAACAGTTTAGCAGATCAGCTAGTTTCTTTGATCATCAAGCAGACGTAGTCAGGCTGCCAACACAACAGAAGAAAATGTCTCTGTATCAGTATTTTTCATGTTATGTGTGGGACCCATTTAGTAGGTCAGGAAATCAATTTTGTGAGTCATGATGAACATTTTAAAAAAATGAGATATCAGAGTGCTTTGCATAAATCCTTTTGCCAGAATTGTGCACCTTGCATGGAATACTAAGGTCAGTTTCAATATGTGAAAAGATATTTGTTGGAGGGGATATGATGAATATAGTGTCCATTGATTGCTTAAGAAACAGTTTTTCAATCATTTGTCTCTTGATGTTTGGTTTTCATAACAAAATGGCCGATGTGCAGCATAGTTGTATATTATAACTTGGAACTGGATATAAAATCTGAGATGTTCAACGAGATTCAGTTGCAAATTAAATGTTTTGGAAAGATATTATCTAGGCTATAAATATGTATACACACATACATACATATTTGAGTTAGTGGCAATTGTAACATTCAAAATTGCTTTTAAAATGGATCATTTCTTTTTTAAAAGAAAGAGGAATAATGAAGCAAAATATGTAAAAGCGTGTTCAAGTTCTACCTCTGGATCTGGAAGTGTGACCAGTGACAATTATGAGAAAAATATTGACTCTAATCTGCAAACATCGACTACATTTGAACCACATTTCAAAAAGAAAAAAGTCAGTGTTAGACGTTATAATGAAGATTATTTAAAATATGGTTTTATCAAATGTGAAAAACCCTTTGAAAGTAACAGACCTCAGTGTGTTATTTGTAATAATATTCTTGCAAATGAAAGCTTAAAACCTTCAAAATTAAAAAGGCACTTAGAAACACAGCATACTGAACTTATTGATAAGCCTCTTGAATATTTTCAAAGGAAGAAAAAAGATGTAAAGTCACCAACACCATTTCATAGCTATTCTGTTGTCAGTGAGAAAGCCTTATTATCATCGTAGTTGGTTGCATATCGTGTAGCAAAAGAGAAAATGGCTTACACAGCTGCAGAAAAAATTATTCTTCCAGCATGCTTGGATATGGTGCGTACAATTTTTGATGATAAATCTGCAGATAGATTAAAAACTATTCCTAATGATAGCATGATAGCTCTTCGCATTTGTACAGTTGCCGAGCATTTAGAGGCCACACTTACTGCTCGATTTCAGTCAGAAATAGACTTTGCAGTTCAGTTTGATGAAAGCACTGATATTGGAAGCTGCACGGCACTTTTAGTCTATGTGAGATACACGTGGCAAGGTGATTTCATGGAGGATTTTTTGTGTTGTTTAAACTTAACCTCATGCCTACGTGAATTAGGTATTTTCACAGAATTGGAAAAGTGCATTGTTGGTCACTATAACTTAAGCTGGAAAAACTGCAAAGGAATCACAAGTGACGGAACAGCAAATATAACTGGGAAACAGAGCAGAGTAATTAAAAAGTTACTCGAGGTGACTAGTGCCATGTGGAATCACTGTTTTATACATCGTGAAGCATTAGTGTCCAGAGAGATCCCACAAAATCTCATGGAAGTATTGAAAAATGCAGTGAAAGTTGTTAATTTTATTAAAGCAAGCTCACTAAACAGCCGACTGCTTGAAACCTTCTGTTCAGAGATTGGAGCTAACTATACCCACTTACTGTATCACACCAAAGTCCACTGGTTGTCTCAAGGGAAAGTATTAAGCAGGGTTTATGAACTCAGGAACAAGATCCACATTTTTCTCACCAAAAAGAAATCTCATTTGGCAACTATTTTTGAGGATGATATTTGGGTAATGAAACTGGCATATTTAACATATTTTTGGCATCCTTAATGAACTCGGTTTAAAACTACAGGGGAAAAACAATGATGTATTCCAACAGATGGAACGGATCCAAGGATTCCAAAAGACATTGTTGTGGCAAGCGAGACTGAAAAGCAACCATCCTAGCTATTACATGTTTCCAAGATTTTTGCAGCACATAGAAGAGAATGGTATTTAATGAGAATATTTTGGAGGAAATAAAGGTAGAGATACTGTTGCATCTCACGTCTCTCTCTCAAACTTTTAACCATTTCTTCCCAGGAGAGAAATTAGAAACACTAAGACAAAATTGCTGGGTAAAAGATCCATTTGCTTTTCGAAACCCAGAATCAATAACTGAGTTAGACCTGGTACCTGAAGAAGAGAATGAATTATTGCAGCTCAGTTCTTCATTCACATTGAAGAATGATTATGAAGCATTATCAGCATTTTGGATTAAGATAAAGGAAGACTTTCCTTTGCTAAGTCTAAAGAGCGTCCTGCTACTATTACCATTCACGACAACTAGTTTGTGTGAACTGGGGTTTTCAGTCTTAACCCAGTTAAAAACAAAGGAAAGGAATGGATTCAGTGGTGCAGCAGAAATGCGGGTAGCACTGTCTTCCTGTGTTCCAGACTGGAACAAGCTCATGAGCAGGCAGGACACTCCCCACATTAAATCAGTTTGACCCGGTTTTTGTTTGCGTTTCATATTTTGTGATCCTTTCCTGTGTTGTATTTAAATGTTAATATAGCAGTGTATGTGGTAACCTATGTTTTATTTTTGTTATATTTAAATACTAATAAAATCATAATTTTATGTCCATTGAACAGAAGTCTAATGAATTTTGATTAGCAGTTATGCACTGTTGTAGAGGCATTTGGGATATGAAATGAAGAAAACAAAAGATCATTCTCTAGTGGAGCTTTAGTTCTGGCAAGGAGAGAAAGACGATAAATGTAATAAATACAACCTTTCTAATATTTAGCAGATAATAAGTGCTATAGGAGTGGACTTCCCCAGTGGCTCAATGGTAAAAAAAAAAAAACTTCCCCTGCAATGCAGGAGACAAGAGACATGGGTTTGATCCCTGGGGTGGGAAGATTCCCTGGAGGAGGGCATGGCAACCCACTCCAGTATTCTTGCCTAGAGAATTCCATGGACAGAGGAAGCTGATGGGCTGTAGTCCCTGGGGTCACAAAGAGTTGGGACATGACTGAGCACACATGCAATGCAACAAGTGCTATAGAAAGTAATAAGAAAGGTCAGGGAAGTATTTGAGAACCAAATCATGAAGGACTGGACCATTATAGGGCCTCTGGGTTTTGTCAGTGACATGGAGAGCAATTGGGTTCTGTGCAGGAGAGACGTGGTGTGAATTAGGTTTTCAAAAACTCCTGACTTCTGTTTTGAATAGATTGAATTTAAAGGTTGCTTCTTTAAAGAAGTCCTTCCTAATCACCTTAGTTTGGAAGATTTTTTTATTATTCTTCCTTCTATTTCTTTCTTTGTGGTATGTAATTTCTAATATTTGTATTTATTTGATTACTGGTTCTGTCAGTCTGCCACCTTGGAATGCATGCTCCATAGGAGCAGAAATTGTGTCCCATCTTGCATGATACATAGTAAGTGGATATTCCGTTTACTTTTGCTGAGGCACAAATGAATCCGTGATACTTATCACTTGTAACATGAGGTCACATTCCCTGGAATAACTAATGTATGGCAGATTTCTTTGCCCTTTTTTACATTTAAATATCTGATTTGGGGGGACTTACCTGGTGATCCAGTGGTTAAGACTTCGCCTTCCAGTGCAGGGGGTTCAGGTTCAACCCCTGGTCAGGGGACTAACCTTGTGGTTTAGCTGGTAAAGAATCCGCTTGCAATGCGGGAGACCTGGGTTCAATCCCTGGGTTGGGAAGATCCCCTGGAGAAGGGGAAGGCTACCCGCTCCAGTATTCTGGCCTGAAGAATTCGATGGACTGTATATATAGTCCACGGGGTCACAAAGAGTCAGACACAACTGAGTGACTTTCACTTCACTTCAGGGGACTAAGGTCCCAAATGCCACAAGGTGTGACCAAAATTTTTTGTAAAATCTGATCTTTGTCGGATTAGAAGTGTTCCCCAGCAGCACTGATTTGATGTTGCTTCCTCACATCATTGCTGAAAGTAAAGCAACTTAATTGCTTAACAGGTCTTCCTCAAACTGCTTTCAACAGGTATTTGTAAGGCCTCCTCAGACAACCATTCTGCCTTTTTGCATTTCTTTTCCGTGGGGATGGTCTTGATCCCTGTCTCCTGTACAATGTACTTCCCAAGCACTAGCAAAAGTCTATCCACACTTAAAATGGTTAAGATGACAACTTTAATGTGTATTTCACCACAGTTAAATTTTGAATTAAAAAAAGAACAATACCTCACCAACCACATCATTGGCTACCTCTCCAGAGCATCCTTTCCTAACAGTGAATCTCCTAACTCCAGCATTATTTGCAATCTGCGTAGTCTAAGAATTTCCCAAATAAAATTCTGCTAACTTTTTGTGACAGTTCTCTCCACTTTTTTCTTTCACATTTTACCAAAAGCAACAAGGAGAAACCAGGTCACACCTCCAAAACTTCTCTGGGAAATCTCAACCAAGTACCCAAATTTGTTGCTTACAAGTTCTGTTTTCTGTATAATTTATAGGACACAATATTACTGCTATATAACAGAACCCCCTTGCTTCCAATTTCCAAAAACATACTCCTCTTTTCCTCCTGAGACTTTATCAGCAGACACTGACATTTCTTTTTTTGGCTGTGTCACATGGCACACGGGATCTCAGTTCCCTGAGCAGGGTTCAGACTCACGCCTCTGCAGCGGCAGCTTGGGGTCTTAGCCACTGGACCACCAGGGAAGTCCCCCAAATCCACATTTCTACTAGCTGTGTATTAACAGCAATCTAGGATTTTCCATCGTGTTCCTCAAACTTCTTCCAGCTTCTACCCGTTACCCACTTCCAAACCACTTTCATATTTTTAGCGTTTGTTACAGTAGAGTTGGCAGAGTTTGGAACCAGAAAAAAAATCTTTCTTCCAATGATTGAACTCACCACACTACTTCTCCAATCCCACTTCTTTGGGGAATGCTCCTGGCAGACTCTGGCCAAGATTAGCCAGAGGTAAATGCTCATGATGTCCCTCCCAAGCTTAGTCTTGGATCTGAAGACAAAGGGAGGTAGAAAGACAGACACTTTTAGAGACCAAAACCTGTACTCACTTCCTATTGCTGCAGTAACAAATGACCACAATATGAATGGCTTAAAATGACATGGATTTATTCTCTTTTGGAGACAGAAGTCCAATGATCATCTCATAGGACTAAAGTCAAGGTGTCAGCAGAGTTTGTTCCTTCTGGAGACCGCAGGGAAGAATCTGCTTCCTTGAGTTTTCAAGCTTCTAGGGTCTTCCTGCATTCGCTGTCTCACAGCACCTTCCTGCATCTTCAAAGCCAGCAGCAAAGCACCTTCAAATATCTCTCTGCTTCCATCACCACATTGCCTTCTCTCTACGATTGTCTTCACTTATGAATCTATTGGAGCCATCCACATGATCCATTATAATCCCTCCATCTCAGGGTCCCTAATTTAACCACATTTGCAAAGTCCCTTTTACCATGTAAGCTGATGTATTCATAGGTTCCACAGGACTAAGACATGGACATCTCTGTGGAACCATTACTAAGTTGACCACAACTGAAAATAAACACAAGGAACAAATAAGACAATGATAAGCATTTAAAGGGACTTCCCAGGTGGTACTAGTGGTAGAGAATCTGCCGGCCAATGGAGGAGACAGAAGAGACATGACTTCCATGTCAACTCTTGGGTCAGGAAGATCCCCTGGAGTAGGAAATGGCAACCAGCTCCAGAATTCTTGCCTGGGAAATTCCATGGACAGAGGGGCCTGGCAGGCTACAGTTTGTGGGGTCTCAAAAGAGCTGGATGTGACTGAATGACTGAGTACAAGTATTTAAAACATTCATTGAAAAAAAAATTCATTGAGAGGACATTATGAAACATTCAAACCTTCAAATTCATTCTCTCTCTTGCTTCATCCTCCAGCAACCAAAAATTCCAACCAGCAAAAAAGACAAAATTTTCAATAGGGAAGTTCAGGAATTACTGAAAGCATTTGTTGTTCAAGAGGACAAAGTTCAAATTAGTACTGTGTCTAAGGTCTTTAAGATATAAAATATGACCCTGGAAAGTCCCTGGTGGTCCAGTGGCTAGGAATCCATGCTCTCACTTCTGAGGGCACGGGTCCAATTCCTGGTCAGGGAAATAGATTCTGCAAGCCTTGAGGTAGGGCCAAAAAAAAAAAAAAAAGATATGGCCCTAACTTTTTTAGTCAGATCTCAACCTGCACACTACTTATCGGTGAAAATAAAATTACACCTTTTTCTAGAGAAGCCCCATGCTTTCCCATTGTTCTGCCTTTGACAGGCAATTGGTTCCATCTGAAATCTCTTTTCTCCCAATTCTATATATCAGCATTCTCTTCTTTCTTCTAGAACTTCATATAAGGAGAATGGTAAAGTATGTATTCTGTTATGTTTAGCTTCGATCATTAAGCACATGTATATTTTTAGATTCTTCATTGTTTGCTCCTTTGTGTCATTTAGTTGTATTTTATTGTAGACTACATCACAATTTGCTTATTCTTTTCTCGTTGGGTATCTGTGTTGTTTAGGGACTACTATGAATTAAGCTGCTATGCATATTTCATGTATAAATCTTTCAGTTCAGTTCAGTCACTCAGTCGTGTCTGACTCTGCAACCCCATGGCTGCAGCAAATGAGTCTTCCCTGTCCATCACCAACTCCTGGAGCCTACTCAAACTCATGTTCATTGAGTCAGTGATGCCATCCAGCCATCTCATCCTCTGTCGTCCCCTTCTCCTCCTGCCCCCAACCCTCCCAGTATCAGGGTCTTTTCCAATGAGTTAGCTCTTCGCATGAGGTGGCCAAAGTACTGGAGTTTCAGCTTCAGCATCAGTCCTTCCAATGAACACCCAGGACTGATCTCCTTTAGGATGGACTGGTTGGATCTCCTTGCAGTCCAAGGGACTCTCAAGAGTCTTCTCCAA